CAAAAACGGGACGGAAAACATGGAATTTTGGCATAATCTTGCACCTAAGTGTCTGATATTCAAATTTCGCTTTCTGGGTCAAAACTACTCGAATTACCTCACTCACGTTGTTACGACTCAATTGACTTTTCAATTCTCTATTCAATGATGCCAAAACGAATTCTGTGGCTCGAATGGTTCTTGAGAAACTTCGAATAAAGGCCATTTAGTTATCTCTCGAATGATGTAAAAACGAGTGTTCTTGCTCATTTTGCTTCCGAGAAACATGCAATACGGGACGGAAAACATGAAATTTTGCAATAATCTTGCGCCACCCTTACACAAATCGACGATCATTTTTCTAATTTCATAAACAACAGTCTGTATTTTTTCTATATAACCCCTCCTGACTTTAAAGCTGGATCCGCCCCTAATCAAATCTGAAATATTTTACACTCATTTTTTCAACTTTAACTAGTCAGGTTTTCTACTGTGGAAAGATTTTAAATTAATCTTTAAAATTTAAGTAAAAGTTAAAATATAAGTTCACTGCTGTGAACTACACTTTTCATTGTCGTATAAGAAAGATTGCGTTATTATTGATTTTTTTTTAGAAACTGCTTGTTGGGTATTTTGCCTCAACAATTGTTGTCTTTAAAAAATACTTAAATTATTCCATTGAATTTTGTATACATTTTTTTCTACAATTTTAACAAACCATCTACAAAAAAACGTAAAATTAAAGAAAGAGCACTAATTTTACTAAATCAAAATAATTGTGTTGCTTCATGTTCATATAATTTAAATCATACCTATGCTAAAATCTGAAGAAGGCCAGAGAAACATACACCCAAATTAAATTTACACCAAAATTATTAAATAACATTACCTTCATTAGTTTATACAAGGATATTAAGTCGATCGGAAGTCGTCGAAGCCTCGATACCCTCTAGTTCTTGATTACTTTTTGATAAATAATTCGTTGTAATTGCGAAATAAGAATACTATTTATCAATCTGTAATTAAAGACGTTAGGAAATTCTGTATTTTTTTAAGGGCAAATTTTACCCAACAAGAAGTTTGTAAAAAAAATAGATGCAAAAACTTAAGCTTGTACCAAAATGCATTCATTGTGTAAATTTTAAATCTGATGATGGCGCTGTTGTTTCACCGAAACGTAAAATAGGGGTGTTCTGCTGCTAACCTTCAATTAATTTTCTGCAGAGCAAAGATATCAATTATTAGTGTTTTTCTCACAGCAGAAAATTACACCCTAAACACTTCTTGAACTCTTAGTACGGGTTTCTGGGATTTACAATTTTTTTCTTTTTTTCGCTCAGTTTTTCATCTTTAATTTGTCAGAATTCCCACAGTAGACTGCTTTCTTATGTAAAAAAGTTCTGCTGCAACACATCTTCAATTTTCTTCGGATCAAAAATATCAATTATTTAATGTTTCTGTTTGAAAATTTACTCATTACTTAGAATCCAGATTAAAGTGCCTACAGGTAGGTGAATCTTATTTATTACTTTGTGATGGTCTAGCGGATAGCGCCTTAAGAGGCTGCAAGTGGTTCTCGCCTAAATAATTTAGATTTTGCACTGTTTTTCCAATATTCACACACTAAACAAATTAGTTTTGCGATTCGTGCTAGGGAATTTCAGCGGCCAGAATCCGTGCGACTATTCCACTTTTGTTGCTATCCAGCGCCCTTCAGGCTGTAACTGGTCCAGATCAAGATGATCACCAGATTTGCGGTCGTTAAATGTAAGCAACTCAATGGAGTTGATTTTTTTTGAGGAAAAAAATCGCGGTTTTAGGGAATTTCAGCGATCTGAATCCGGACAGCGTTTTATTTTGTAGAAGTAGGTGGCAACCAGGGTTGTCCGTTTTCTTTGATAGTATTAATTTATTTTTTTAAGAAACGCTTAGCGGTTTTCTGGATTTTGACTTAAAATGTTTACTTTATGTGTGTAAAAACTAACTTAAAGTCAGATTATATACATTAACTCAAAATTTTATATGTGGGACGGTTTTTAAAGGAAGTTTCACAGTCAAAGTAAAATCAGTGTCGTTCTTCTGTGAACTACAATTTTAATCGTCGTGAAAGCTATTTTGCAGCAATTATTAATGTTTTTCTGCGGTGAATTGTAAATTAAACGTTTCTTGAACTCGCATTAGGGATTACTCAGATTTAAAAATTACATTTTTTGTCGTATTTTTTCAACATTTAATGGCTGATTTATAGATGATTAATTTATTGTTTTTGCCAAACGGTTCGTATTAGGGATTTTCAGGGGCTGGGATCCCTCCGAATAATTGAATTTTTTATTATTTATTGCCATTTTTTGTTTATTGCATTATTGGAGGATAGCACGTAGCA